ATATATATATATATATATATATATATATATATATATATATAATACTCCGGCTACCTATAAAAAGATCAATCTTAAGGAAAAGTTATTAGATTTAAATTTTGAAAAAAAAAATGAAATAAAAATAAGAACGCAATTGAAAATTAAGAAACCACCAGTTCAAAGTGTAAACATATACACTTTGACAGAAAAGTGAGGAAAAACGAAGTGGAACTGGGGATGATTTTTGACTTATAGATTAATTTTTTTAGCTTGAGAACATTCCTACCTGATTCTCAAAATCTGTTTTCAATAACTGCTTTCCATTTATCGCTTGAAAATGTGAAAATGGCGTTAGCTTTGGTATTCCAGTAGAACCCTAACACATTGATAACACAAATTAGTATAATGAAATCTAGATTTACATAATATGATTTCAAATACTTCTGTTTCAAACGTTTGTAAACAAAATTAAGAGTTAATTATTGTAGACCATTTCTCATGTTTATATCGCTTTAACAATGAGCACATATTATATAACTAAATAAATCAGGTATTAGGTAAAGAGAGAAGAATGAGATTAAATAAAAACAAGAAATTAAAAATATTATTGGTCCCTTTGATAATAAAGTATTTACCGATGTCATACACATATGACTAATGTCATCAATTGTGAGCTTACGAGCTTCTCTGCAAACTTTCTCCTCACATCCATGAATAGATATACAATCAAAAGACATCGTTCCACTGAAGAAAAATGAAAGTTCGTTTAATAAATTAAGGAAATGATAGAACAACATTTGGCTATAATAATAATAATAATAATAATAATAATAATAATAATAATTTTAATAATAATAAATAAAAAAAACAATAATAATAACAACAATAAAAATAATAATAAAACTAACAATAATAATAATAATAATAATAATAATAATAATAATAATAATAATAATAATAATAATAATAATAATGGTAATAATAATAATAATAATGGTCCACATAGAGAGCGCACATTATGGAGACTATAAGTATGTTTAATTTTCAAAATGTATAGGCCTATACGAGAATATACGCACCTCTGGTGGTTGGCACCGGCAGCTATGACCATTTTTAATGTTGGAATGCTGAAAAATAATATATATATATATATATATATATATATATATATATATATATATCACTGATAAGTCACTGACTTGATAAAGGGTTACGCCCGAAAGATCTCGTCTATTTTCTTAATAAATATATAAATAAATGTGTGTGTATGTGTGTGTGTGTGTGTGTGTGTGTATGTATGTATGTAGGTGTGCAATTCCTGTAGTCTACGGTATGTTAACGCTTAACATAAAATGAACATTCACGATTCTTATTTCTTCTGACGAGAAAGAACCGTTCTTAAAAAGACATAACTGTTCTTTGGAACACCAGAAAGAACTTTTCTTATTTGTGGACCCCGTTTCCACTGCCAGAAACAATCGTTCTTGAAAAGTTAGTGGATTCGCTAATGATGATAAAAAGAAACAGAAGATTTTAAGTGACAATATTTTTCAAGATTGAATGAGGAATTGAACCAAGCCTATTACTGTAACTACACAGTTAACAATGCCACTGTCTTCTTTTTTTTAAATACATCCCATCTATTTACACAATAATTACTGCTAGAAACAAATAGTTGCATATAATATAAATTAAGATAGCCTTTAACACTGTTAAATTATATAATAATCATCAACGATAGGTAAATACAGTGTTGGAATAAAGGACATAATAATACATCGTGTAGCATAGCTCTCAACGAATATAGTACTGTAAATAAATGAATTAAGAAGATGAAATGAAAAAGAAATTGTGTAATAAAATGCCTATATATATATAATATATATATATATATATATATATATATATTACAATTTTTTTCCAATATTAATATTAATGTTCCAAATATAATATTAGCAAAACCTTGATACTTACTCACTTGAGTGTAGGTCGTTTACAGTACTACTAGTACTTAGTTCCGGTATCATTGTACATACATCTGAGTAAAGGGTTTCAGGACTGCGAGTTATAAAAAGTGCCTTACAGGATGTCTAATCAAATTAATATAAAGCGTCGATAAAATATAATGCGTATAGACAAACAATCACCGTATAAGTCATTGTTAATGATACGGGGGACTGGAAAAAGTAGGATTACTTTAAGTTCCATGTCATAAATAATTAATCAATGCACACTATAGCTACTTATGTGATGTCGATACACCGTAATATGGATGATGATAATGACGGCGAAGACGACGACGATGTTGGTGATGATGAAATTAACAATAACTCGGCATAAGACTACTATGTTTATACGGCTTTTCTCCATTGTCATAATGACAAGTGATGTTAACATTTCAAAAGAAAAATACAATTAAACAATACATGAAAAATGAAAATAAAACTATAGTAAGGAGAATGTAGACGAAAAGGGTAAACATGAAAACCTACTCGACGTCGGTGAGACTCGAAATATGGCTGTAGTGTTAAAAGCGGTTGTGATGTTGGAAGGTAGCTCCTACCAATAATAGAGAAAAGAACCCGACCCGCGGAGCATTTTTAGTTATTCTACCTTGCATAATGTTATAAGTCGACGGCAACAACTGTTTATGTCTTTCAACGTAATTGTGTATTTAACAAAGCTGTACCTAGTTTGAAATGCTCCAGAATATTGTTAATATAATTTCTCGTTAATAATAAGGCGAATTACGTCATATTTTATATGCACATTTTTGTTATAAATGGTCTTTTCTTGGACAAAAATGCACAGAAATTTCAGGACAAAAAAAAAACAAATGTTGCTGTGCACAACACAGAAAACGGATAGATGATCTGAAGGAATAATAATCAGAACAAAAACGTATGAAATTGAAACAATAATGACGACGATAATGATGACGATATGCCGATGATTATCGTTAAGAGTGATGATACAGGAATATTAAAAGATTTTTTTTTTTTATTTCAACACACAACAGCAGCAAAATTTAATTCGTCACTTACAGGAGGAATATATTCTGATAATGTATGTTCCTTTAGGCAATATATATAATATATACAAAAATTACCTTTCGCATCATTTCTTTTAATGTTTTAGGTGTGTTGCCAATCTGTAAGCACACCTGTAATTAATTCAGAAGCGAGACATTTAAATCATAATTGTATCAAATTGTATAGCGGATGTATTTGCATACCGTAACTAATAACTGTATATTAACTGCAGCTATACTCATAATATGTATTTTATATATCAATATCATTTAAAAGGTTACACAAATGTTGGTTATAGAGTACCACAGTCGTGTCGTCACGACGCCAGGTCGCGTTCTTTGTTGACAACAGACGTTGGATACTGTTCATTACGCCTGAATGACTTCATAGGCTTTCTGGAATAGGCATTTTGAAATCTAATATTTTACCATCACTATGTATTAAAACAGAAAAGCTCGCATTACATTAGTTATCGAACACACATTTAATCATCATTTAAAATTTACAAAGAAAAAGTAAGATACAACATCTTTATAATTACGTTATAAATTGGGATCAATGGTTTGTCAGTGAAAAATGGCGTCCGGTTGAACTCTTCTTTGCAACTATAGCAACGGAGTAGTATCACGTGGTATCGTGACGTAACACTGTAGTACTCTATACATGCAGACATAATATCAAAGACTTTTAACTCTACCAAGATAGAATGCTCGCTGAATCTCGGCCAGCATGAATGATTTAATGGCTGGTGCAATTGTTATGCTATTTATTTACTGCAGCGCTCTTCTTCCCATAATGTGAATTTTATAAATATTTTCAAATACAACAATAATTTTGGTTATGCTGATATAGTGTTTGTTACTCTGGGTTAGGCATATCAGATATGGTAAAACAATCTGTATGCCTATTATAATAATTATTGTGGTCAAATATAATAGTAGTACTGTATTGCTTAAAAAACTGGTTGGCTCCATCTAATGGTTTTTGTGTCTACTGCCCCCAACGGGGGCTGTAGACACTATGTCATGATTCAGCAATTAAAAATGGCGGAAAGAGTAAATCCGGTGGAGGAATGATGGGTACGGCTACCAAGTGGTAGGGAGCGCTCTAGTGAAAAATCGAATAGCGTAAGGAACTCTTACAAAATTGCGTTCGAAACTCGAACATGCGTTATAGAGACGCAGAACGCGTTAGACACGAACCCCTTTTACCGTCATTTGAAAGCCGTCCTCTAGAACATGGTAGTACTTTTCGAGATCAAAGACATAACGCGGTAACAAAAGTTACTTGTTTTTTATTTGACCTTTTAATCTTCACGTCTGAAAACCCATTGACCAATCGTATAATAGTGTATAAAATTATTACCAAGGCCGTACCTAGGGTGCTTAGAGAGGTTAGTAAACTTGCAAATTTACTTTACTATTTACTTTTTAGTATATTGTATATTATTAATATTCGTATAGCCTAGGGCAGGCCTAGACCTTTACATACCGTGCTAACACCTGTGGCCTGCTAATGCTGCTAACCTGAAACATATGAAAACCAAAATAGGCCTAGGCCTTTAGCGTTCTTACGAATTTCCTCTGCACTAGAGCCTAGTACTAGACTAGGCCAAACTATTACCAAATGCCGTATCTAGCTAATCCTAGAGGTTAGTAAAACTGCAAATTTACTTTACTGATTTACTAAATTATTAGGCCTTGGCCTATTTGCCTGCTAGCTAAGCGACCTTGTTGTTGTAGGAACTATAGTTATACCTACCATGCTAAGTACCTGTGTGTCATGGCCAGCTAACCAAGACTTGTTAGTCTAAGACCAGATTTATTTTCCAAAATATTAAACCAAGGCATTCTATTTTGTCCCAGGGTAAAGTTATCCATTAAATAGACACCTCCTTCAAAAATTACATTGCATGTCGTATCCCGTTAAACAAAAATCCACATACAGGTTGTATGAAGTTGCATGTACGCCACCACTTTACTGATTTACATTCATATTGGATTCTTATGTATGTTCCTTTTCAGCTTTTCGATGTTAAACATCATTAATTGACCTGTCTCTTTCTTTGCAGTGATGACATCACACTTCTAACAAAATCGGATGATGTACTCCGAGTCTGAATAAAGGCACTGTTTCCAGGAGATCCACGCTGAGGGACTTCGGGAGGAAACCTCATTGAATTGCTCACTGAATAATGTGGACTCAGGGTTCATTTCTAAAATAACGATTGTTTAGATATTAGGCCATGAATTATATTGTCACCACCCCCCACCCCCACATTATTATTTTCATTGCATTTCACCATGTATATGTTATGTTGTGTGGATGCCTATGATGACGTATCCGGCAATAAAAGAAATTGAATACAATGGAATTGAATAATAAAGTGTTTAGTGTAATATAATGTATACTGAATGTTGTTATGAAAGAAAAATTTCATCATAAATCCAGATACACTACAATAAATACACACATCTGCATATTGAAGAACATAAGATTAAACTCAAAAACAAAATTCCTGTATTTTAGGCAGTGGACACACTTTCCCGCCGGGAGCCTATTTTAATATTGCTCAACTTCTACATTTTCATATTATTGCCATTTAAATATTCTGCATATTATTAAACTTCGGGATTGTTAAACCTTTACATTTCTTAGTATTGTTTCTATTTCAATATTCTGTGCTCACCGGTTAGTTTTAATTTTTAGGAATTCAAGATATTATGGGATTAAAGGGCACCTAATAATTACATACCGTAAATGGTTAACAACTTTAGAAAGTATACCCTGTTGTAGGTTTGTCTACATACATATTAATCGAAGTTACATGGATTATTAAAAAGCCAATCTAATGGTTATAAATAAAACTGTATATGATTTTTTTTTTAAATAAATTTTGACTTATAAATTGACGAACTCTATTAAGGGTCGATCTGATTACTATTCTCTCGTGGCTTTTTAATACAGTTATTCTATTAGGAATCATTCCATTAAGCAATCAATCTTTGATTCAGGATCAATGATTGTTTCTTGTTGTCTTTGTTCTTAAGAAGTGCTCTTTTCTATCCCTTACCATAAAATTATTAAAAAACTTGTATTAAAGACAGGTGAAAATGACTATTCCCTTCAATTCATAAATACACGGAATCATTTTCATTTAATATAAATAATCGCATCTAATAATATATCATAACGCATAAGTCTACTAATTAACTTTTATATACTAATACTAATACATATACTAATTAACATTATTATTAGACCTATCATCTTATTATTTTATTATTAGGTCAACACTTATTACATCGCTATATTTTATGTTCCATTATTCGCAAAACGTTCTTCTTCTGTTTCTTGGTTTAGCGCCATCTTCAAAATGAAGGCTTCGGCGCGAGCTTCACCGCAGATGGGAGTCTCATCCAGATGTAGGGAAAAGTAAATAAGGTTGAACAAAAGAATAAATACAATAAATTGCGAAGGGAAGCAGGAGCTCATCTTGGGCAAGGCCGCTCAATTCCTTGGGTAAGGCCATTAGCCTAATACTAATGAACCTTACCATGATTACCCATTAATAATAATAATAATAGTAATAATAATAATAAATAAATAATAGTTGTATTTGTATAGCGCATCATGCGAAAAAAGCCCCTATGCGCTTGGTGATTGAGTTCTTTGAGTTTGACATTTTGAAAAAGTTGACCTAAAACCTACTCCTTGAACTAAGTTATGGTTGGCCGTTGGCTCCGAGGAGTTCATCCGCCCTTTGTTCAGCCGTTTTTTTTTTTTTTTTTGGTTTTTTTTTATGCTGCTGGGTGTCCATCCATCGGCGGCCGCTAAAGACCAACAGCTGGGGTTGCCGGAATTAGTCGCCGACGACTCGACCGGTTTATAACGTCGTACCCAGGACACTATAATCTTATACTATACTTACACTACATGTAGGCCAATAATATATCATATCGGGTTTGTTGATTGGATGTTAGAGAGCCGCAGCAAATTTTGGTAATCCAGCTCACCTACATTACCGTACTCGCTTCCTAACGATTCAGAGTTAGTGCTTATCACATATAACACATATTAAAAGTTTTAAAAATGGATTGATGTAACTTCAGACATCACGAGTTCTTATAAACAAATAAAGCTACGAAAAACCTTTATAAAATTTCAACTATATTACTGCCTTATATAAGTACGTTAACAACTTTACATACTGGGTTTTCTATTGTAGAGTATCTGCTAATTTATTTTTACTTACTTATTTATTTTGAAATGTAGTGTATAATGCTTACCATAATTACTCCAATGGCTCGGGATGCTCCGGCAATCAAAGGCCATTCCATGTGGTTATAGCCCAGGACAGCTATACAGTCTCCTTTACAAAACCCAAGATTTAAAAATCCAGCCGCAAGATCAATAACCTAGGAGAATGAGAATTCATAGTTTCATATGAACGAGTAACTAGTCAGTTTTACGTTGGCGGCGAAAGTGAGGTGATGGTGCCCCCCCCCCCTCGACTTGACAATATTTTCTTTATCTTATTCAATTTAGCTGTAGTTACGACAAGTGTAGATAGTTTTAATTCGTTTTTTATAAGGTTTCCAGAGATAGTTATCAGGGGTATAGACACTAGACAGATCTGCAACTGAAAAGGATTTATATCCAGTCGATTCCATTCGGAGTGGACTGAGAGGAAGATTTACCAGGGGTCCAGAAAAAAAGAATCTGGGTAGGGGCCATACTATATGCTAAACTATAAGATTATTAAAAACTATTGTACATCTGGAAATTTAGAGTTTGCTCTTACCTTCCTTTTATACTCTGTAAAGGTGATTCGTTCATTGTCATCAACAAACACATGCATTTCTCTGTCAGGATGTTTCTCTACTCTCTCCTGAAGCAGCTCATGCATCGTCAATCCAATAAATGACTGGTTGTTAGGTGTATGGACGTAACTCTTGTTTCGAGCCAGTGCCATTTCAAAATTCGTCTACAAAGCCCCCGTGTAAATGCAAGTGCAGTCAGTAACTCCTCACTCATACAATTCACAGGTCGAATTACGCGAAAACTTGCCTTGCCAAACTCAATAATAATGACTCAATGTTTGAAGAAACACAAACTGCAGATCAAGATAACAATTCCAGCTATGTAAATTAGTATATTAGATGTACGTCGATTGCAACAATAACAAGCTATTACACAACATGACATATACATGGATGTACCCCCCAGTGGTGGTGCCAGGACATGCCCGACGGAGGGGCTAAAGGCCCCGACGGGGAGGGGGGCTAGTGGAGCGAATCAAGTCTCACTAGGCTGGGGCTTGGGGGCCGTCTAGGGCCCCCGGTGGGGGTCCAGGTCACTGGTATTTGATGGATTATGGCGATTTTTTTATTACTTATTTGATAGGCATCGAGTTACTATAATATGACTTCATGTAGGCTATGCTTTCTAATGTTGAAATCAGCTTCCAAAACCAAAACATTTTGAATAAAGCAAGAAACAAAGAGTATGCAATGTAACCATCTAATTTATTTTCAAATCCTCATTGTTGAAAGTAATGAAATTCTATATTTTGGAAATGTTGCATTAAATCTGTCAACCACGCTGTCATGGTCGAGGTTGCTTCACCTATTACGATGTATTCCAACAATCATGATGCTATCTAAATGAGCATTTGTTATAACAGAACGCAAATTATTTTTAATTAGTCTCATTGAATTATTATTATTATTATTATTATTATTATTATTATTACTATTATTATTATTATTATTATTATTATTATTATTAATATTAATATTAATATTATTATTAATATTATTATTATTATTGTTATTGTTGTTGTTGTTGTTGTTGTGATGAAAAGTTAACACAAACAATGTGGCTAAACGAATATTACATGTAAAATTTTTTTTTATTTGTTTATTCCCCGGCAAAATATATCGTCTTCCCCGACGGGGGCTAAGCACCACTGGTACCACCGTAAATGTGTATGCCACTATTCCTAAAGAGAGTGCTAATAAATACTGAATTCTGTCCCGCCCTCTATCATAACGATATAACGGCAGCCGATAACGTTTAGACAAAACATATGGATTAATAAAATGTTATTGACATTGTTATGCTAAGGAATTTAACTAATCATTATACCTAAACGCATACCTCAGTACAGTGAACTGATATGTACATGCATATTAATAATAATAATTATAACAATAATAATAATAATAATAATAATTATTATTATTATTATTATATCAATAATATTAATAATAATAATAAAAACACTAATAATAATAATAACAATCATTTATTTGAAAAATACACTTTTCGAAACAGTGGTACACTTTGCACGATAAAGGTGCGTCCAATTGGTGTTAAAATGTAATTTTCGATCGATATACAATTGTAAAAAACAATATGAAGATAACAAGGTGAAATTAATCAAGATGTATGCCTACAATGCGTTTAAGTACAACTAAAATACATGTCACTCAAACAGTTGACAATCCACAGAGTGACCCCTACATTCCATTAAAAAATATTCATACATTTCTTTCCTTTATTAATAGCCGTTTGCATTGGTAAAATAATCAGAATGGATAGTAAAGGAGAGAGAAGAATATTCCATAAAAAGTACGTGTCACTGTGCTGAATGGGCCTTTTCGAAGGTGTCAATCAAACTTAAAAACTGGCCAATCAGAAAAGGGTTGTTAATACCTACGTCTCTCACAATCACAAACTCACGTGTTTTTACACTGTCGTGTTTTGGGACAATTACATATATGGGTGGTGATTAGCGAAAAGGTGCATTGCATTGCCATGGTCCTTGACTACATCAGCAGTAGTACAGTGCTGCATGGTTTACACCGTTCCACAACGACCGGGACATAAGTGAACCAAAGCATCGGGGTAACCCCTACTACTTCGAAGATTCAATGATTTGAAGTACACATGAGCCAGGACACCATGTTCACGACAGAGATTTGTATTTTTCATTTATAGCCGTAAGAATTATTATTGCTCTAACTAATCAGCGCCAAAGCCAAATACATACGGCCCTACACGTTTATTATATTTCAAAAATGTATATTAGCTTTTTTAATATTATTTAGTTTTAATATTGTAGGCCTATTAAATTGTATAATTCACTAACCAAATGACCATCTGCACTGCACTCATTCAAACAAAAAATAGACAACTTTACGTTATTGTGACTCCAACCAGGGCTGCAATGGTAGATTTTAGGGTGATGGAGAATTAAGGGCTACAGTAAAGCCCAACCTTGGGAAGGGTGGTTTTAATTAAGTTATATCATTTGTTGATCACTGCTTTTGTATCTACTTACCTCGGGTCAAAGAGTGCTGCCGAAACAGCATACCAGTTAATAGCTGATGAATCCCCGATTGGTCAAACGAAGCGACTAGGTGTGATAACGGTGGCGAAGTTACTGGTCAAGGGTTATGACAATTCTAAGGAATAAATGTATAAATAAAAGAGTTTCATAACCTGAATCCCTTCATCAAAATAAGATCACGAAAAGGTACTGGCGCACCCTATTTAAAAATATAAAGATGTCTCCTATCCCTGAACATCTCTAGAAATTTATGCCATCAAAACAGCTAAAAATATCAGAGACAGGTTCATTAATAACAAAATAAAGAAAACACATTATTTGAAACAACAAAACAAATAAACCTAATTTATCAAAAATGTATAATATTTTGGATCCCCGTGCTATGCTTATATCCATGAGACTAAGCAATTGGATCAAAGGGTAAACAGAGTGTTTTCGTCGGTTATGATACCAAAAGCCATCCTATCTTACTTATAACCATAATGAGGACAAAGTATAAAAAGCCAGCCTTATTAGGATTGTCTCAAAATTCACATATAATCAAGAAACACAAACAGAAGAAAACAATGAAATTGAAGATGAACTTAAAACACAAACTTTAACACAAGATGAGATTGAGGGAAAAATCTTAACCCAAAGTGAGTGTGAAATTGAAATTGATGACAATCTTGAAAATGACTATGCCTTGAATCAGGATCGACAGCACCACCACCACCAACACAAAAAAAATAGGGCACCCACCAAATATTTACAAAATTATGAACCATAGCTCTAGAGGAAAATAGAACCATAAATTTGTGAAGTTACGAAAAGATAATAATATTGTCAGGGGAATAATATGGGTGTTTAGTATCAAAGAAGCAGCCTAAGGTAATACATCCTATAATGCCAGATATGTTTGTTGCAAGGCTTATAACTAAGTCGAGGGGGTAGATTATTTTGAGACCTCTTCTTCTAGGCTTACTGTGAATATGGCATAGGCCTATATGAGTGTAATAATGCAGGTTGTGGCGTGTGCCAAATGGACGTCAGTACTCTGTCCACCGAAATGCTAACATATACACAAAAATTTATATAAAGGAAACCTGAAGGGTGTGAGGTAAAACCAGAGGGTGGTGAAAAAAAAAACTGTACGCCTATAACAGTCAATCAAGCAGCCTGAGACCAACTCCTTCATGACCCTATTACAAAATAGTGAATGAAGAAGTTACATACGTTCTAGTTAGGGTAGATTATCTTGTAATTGCAGCCTCCGCATGAATGATTTTATATACTGTGTGAAAAGCAAGTTAAAAATGAAAAACATTTAAACATTGTACCCTATTTCTTGGGTATAGATTTTTTTTACCAAAGAATGGTGATATAGCAAAGGACCAAAACAGATACATTTTGAAACTACTGGAGAGATTCTCCATGTGGGATTGCAAACCAAGAATCACGCCATGTGAAACAACAATTGTTAATTACATCCAAACTGAAAGAAACTGACCCCAACAGGTATAGGGAGATAGTGGGTAGCCTTATATATCTAGCCTTGTACCCGGCCAGATATCACATGTATAATTAAAACATTATCTCAAATTCTAGCTGACCCCCAAGGTTGAAGGACGTGCTTAGATAACTAAAGGGTACTGTTGATAAGACTAACCTTTAAGAGGTCTTCTGACTCAGATCATTCAAGATTAAATGGGTATAGTGATTTGGCAAACTCTATTACTACTGGTTACTGTTTCTACATTAGTGAGGATAGTCTCCCATTTCTTGGAAAAGTAATCGTCAACCCGATGTTGGTCTTTCAACTTATGAGGTTGAATATACAGCACTAGGAGCCACAACCCAAGAAGCCCTCTGCCTCCTACAACTATTATGGTATTTAGATAATGAATTGCCTGGGCATTGATTATGGGGGACAACCATTGGGGAAATGCCGATGTTGGGATCCAGTGTATCGTGAACAATCTAAACACATTAATAACACATCAACTATATCTTTATAAGAAATGTGTTAAAAGAAGGTGCAATTGATTGTCCTACAGAGAATATGATTGCTGATATATTGGAACGCGAATTTCAGATATTCAGAAAATGTTTGTTTGAAATTTAGCCTGTTGTATATTAGTTCACTTTACAGTTACTGTAACATTCTAATGTTTAAAATGTGATGAGATTTAATTAAGTAGGTTGTTTACATTATGAGGGGAATGTCATACAAATAAAATCAGAAGCCATTACATGGTCTGAATTGGAAAGGACCGGATGGTAGATATCGTCATAGCATCATCAAAATAAATAACACAGATGTAAAGTAATTAATACCAAGTCTTTCAATTAACCAGGAGTCTTTATGGTTGTACAGTGAAGTGCATATCGGCGATATCTAGAAATGCAACAAAGAATGAATAATGTCACCCACAGTTTGCAGAAAATATTAAATTACTACCAAATTAATCGAGACCCACGCAGCTAGAAATTAAGAAGATCTTAACAGTCTATAACAGCTTCCCCCGAAGTAATTTGGAATGGTTTTTTAACGAGTGAGTCCATCTGGAAGTGAACAAATAACACGCAAAAACAATGAGCAAAACAATGAAAATGACGCCAAAAGTGGTAATGAAATTACCCATGAAGAGGAAAAGAAGTAGACTTTTAAGATAAAAAAAGAAAAACAATACTGTACCCTATCAAATAGTTCTACTAACAATTAATAAATGGATTGGACATTGCATTTCGAGACATTCATGGAAGATTCTTACCTTTAACAATACATAAAAACAGATTAAAATAAATTAAAATAGTTTATCTTTAAAAATGCTGTCGCATTCACTCGAACCTATTTTGTACGTGCAAACCCATGTAGTGATTAAGATTTTTTTCCCTCAAGCGTAATCATCGGATATGGTGTGCATTAGTTAGTCTCAACACATCCTTCAAGTGTGAGACCACTATCTTCTCTAACTGCAGATTCCAACTTAATCTGATCACAGAAATCAGCCATATCAATAGCTTTACACCACTTAATGAAGATGGAAGGAAGAGGGGGTTTCTTGAGGTTTCACTTGCAGAAAATTGCATAATGGTCAGAGAGGTCAGGATGCAATCTCAGCTCACTGATACTATTACAGTCAGAACGGGTGATAATAAGTTTAATACAATGACCAACAGTATGTGTGGAATCAGAAACATGCTGACACAGACCGAAAGATGCAAGTATGTTAAAAAAAAATGAATGGTAACAGGATTATGGTGTACATTAGTTAGTCTCAACACATCCTTCAAGTGTGAGACCACTATCTTCTCTAACTGCCGATTCCAACTTAATCTGGTCACAGAAATCAGCCATATCAATAGCTTTACACCACTTAATGAAGATGGAAGGAAGAGGGGGTTTCTTGAGGTTTCAATTGCAGAAAATTGCATAATGGTCAGAGAGGTCAGGATGCAATCTCAGCTCACTGATACTATTACAGTCAGAACGGGTGATAATAAGTTTAATACAATGACCAACAGTATGTGTGGAATCAGAAACATGCTGACACAGACCGAAATATGCAAATATGTTGAATGGTAACAGGATTATTAACACCACCCACATGGAGGTTGAAATTACCACAAATAATTAAGTCAGAAGATGATAGCAAATAACTTCTGTCAAAATCAGCTGAAAATCATTAAAATAATCTGATTAGGAAGAACCCATAGGACGATAAATACAGACAATGTGAATGTAATGAAATCCACATTTACCTGTTGCATGAATTGCCTCAAATGAGTTAAAATTGATGGAAGAAGCGATCGATGTAGAATTCCAATACTACCTCCTTATTTCGCCAATCACGGGACGTTCTTACATGTAAATCCAGTTGGAGTGCAGTCACCAGCAGCAACGTCATCGCCTGGTTTTACCCATGCTTTAGTAACTGCAAAAAGATCAAGCTCATTATTTTGAGGTAACAAAATCAACAAAGTCACCCCTCTTATTTCTAAAAGATCTTAACCTAATTAACCTAAGAGTTACAAATCGTGCCATTAAAAAACATACTGAGGCGATCTATCTTCAGAAGACAAAGGGACGGTGCTAGCGTGGGGTCTATGGTCTAGAGGGCCCCCGTCGTGGGATCTCCGGAGCCTCGCTTGCTCGCCCCTATCGGGGAATTTCCTCAGGGAATTTCGTTAGGGAAAAAATCAAATCTCGATCACCGAATGTACAATTTTAAACATGAAATTAGTATTCATTATCTCAGCAAGAATACGGTTTTAGTCTTCGTTTTTGTTTTATTGTCAAGATCATCAATTAAGTAAATTCTAAGAGAGAATGTTTGAAATATCTGTTCATTTAGTCTATTAATATTTTAAAATAAAATGAAAACAAACAATATCAAATTTTGACAAAAATTGACAACATTTTGTTTTTATTCCATATAAAAAGTACGTAAAACAAGAAGATACAAAAACAAGTCTGGTATCAATGGATAGACAATTTGATAAGCTTTCATACGTTCATATGATGTGCAACTTAATTGTATTTGGTATATTACACATGTTTTATATTCCCGATTATTATTTAATCGGGAATAATACCTTCTAATAGGTATTATTACAGTTCTAATACCGCCACGAAGTGACCTTTCCAAAAATACCAACTAAACATGTAAACATTTTATTCAAATAAATGGTGCCTGGCTCTCGGACTACAAAGAATTAAAAAAATCCTGAAAAACCAAAACTTCCACAGGAACAATGTAAATATCTCACTCTACACAATCCAGAAGAAAAACAAGTGAGAAAGTAAGAAATATTAACAAAAGTTACCATTGGCGATAGTAATGGCAATGAAAAAATATTATTTCAAGTTACCATTTATTGGGAAAATGCTAAACACACTATACGAATGCTAAGATAAATACACTATGCAAAAAATACTGTATTGTAGCAATTTAACCATCAACATGGTATTTAACACAACGAAAATAAGTTTTTTTTTTTTAAATTAAAGACCCTATTAGTAATTACATCAAGTCCAACGTTGTGTATCAGTTCACATGTAGAGTCTGTAAGGCCTCATACATTAGGGAGATTTCCCTCCATTTTGTAACAAGGATAGAGGAGCATTTACGCAGGGATAAAAATTCACATACATACAAACACATCAAAAAATACAGTAATTTCAAAATACACAGTAACAATAAGTGCTTTGAAATAATAGATAAATCAAATACACAGTATCGATTAAAAATCTAAGGTTCCCTCCATATCAAATGGAAGAATCATGAACTTAACAGACAAGTTCAAAGTTACGAGATTATACTAAGAATTTAAACTAGAATTAGAATTACGTAAAATTACGTGCAAGTTACGACACTGCTATGTATTCAAATACCTATTTTAGAATAAATAAGAGCTACGATATTACACTAAACATTTGACCTTAGACTATTTGAGAAACTAGAATTTGAATTACGTAACTTTAACGTCTTAACAAGTTACGACATTACTATACATTCAAATATCCATTTAGAATGAATTCGCTCTAATGTTCATAAGTTATAAACAAAGGTATATAAACCTCAGAATATCTAAAGTCGGTTTTTTTTTTTTTTTGGAAAATCTGAAGATGTCGTATTGAATACGAAGAAACATGTCGGGTTATATTAAATGTATTTTTGTTGCTCTTAAATTCGTCTTTATACTACTTTCTGTTCGGAAGTTTGGCTGTATTGTACACGAGTTTACACAGACCAGTACGGTCACAAAGCAAGACCTTAGATTGTTTGAGAAACTCAGCAAGAAGGTGAATAAAGCAGACGCAGACGTAAATTTTCTCAAAAATATATAAATATAATATATATATATATATATATATTATATAAATATAATATATATATATTTATATATATATATATATACATATATATATATATAATATATTGATAGTGAAAACATATATTTTAGGAGCGGATCCACAGTCCATAGATGTCAAAAAGGGGGTGGGACCGAAGTGGTTAGTTCTGGGCACCTTTTTTTTCTAGAAAACAAAAATTCCACGGGGACATGCCTCCCAACACTTAGAGTAGTTTTATTTCTCGATCGCTCTCCCCTATCCCCAAAAACCGCTCTTGGCGAGGGAAATGTTCAAGAGGGACCCCTCCCATAATAAGCAAATTTTGTTGCAAAAGATTGACCTTAAAGGATATCATATTTTTACAGGTACCGGTATCCTCAAGAAAAGGCCTGTAACACTGAATAGGCTTATTCACAAAAGAGGGCCCAGATAATCAACACTCAGGTTAAGAATGTTATATCTGGATAAGGACCGTCAGTAGTACCATGATACAATTCTGGTAAATCAAAATTAGGTTTTTAAATTATATGAATAATTGTTTTTTTTTTTCTCTCTCTCTCTTTTGTGGGGATTTCACCCACCTTTATTTCTTTCTCCTTTTGTTATTTTTTACTTTTTTTTTCATCAACGACATAAAAAATATCAAGAATCAAGGAAATTAAAATTAAATTGCACCGGCTATGTGGGTCAGTCCACCATGGCTGAATAAATTGTTCAACTTCGGTTTTACCTGCATTATCATTTACGTTAACATTCTAAATTAAATCATTATCTCAAAAACAATTTTTGAAAAATTGCATCCATTCTGAATTGTGTATACGATTTAGAACACATACAATGTGCAGATCCACTCATATACATATACATATATGTGTATACATACGCACCTTATTATCATACACAAATAAACATTTAATATTTAATTTTTTTTTCTTAAATTTATTTATTAATTTTTTTCGAAATAACACCCTATAAATTTCTCATACGGTATACATTTTAAGTTTAATACATTTACCTACACACATACAGTAGTACAAGATCAGGTAATCATGCTGACCAATAATGTTTCTTTATAATGCACCTATTATTATCTGCATACATCCTGTCTCTTATACACATCTTAGATGTGTATAAGAGACAGTATATATACATACATATATAAATACCCATACATACATACACATACACACACATACATAAGAATAATGGTTAAAAACAAAATCTTATCAAAGCCATACCTAAATGAATGGTTCCTCAATGAATTAATAAGGTCCAAGAATTTATAATGCCATATGTATAGCAATGACTATGGGCGGCCTATTTTATAATAGTTGACAGATATTAACGATGTGAAATAAAACATGTGGTATGAATACACAAAGTGCAAGCATCAAGCAACACAATATATAATACTGAATAACAATAGGCGTATTAGTTGACGGATATTGCAACAGGCATATAAAAATTAAGTACGCCTAATTATTAGGCGTACATTTTTTTTTTAATGCATTTTGCAATATTCGTCAACTCCTATAATTAATATAAAACACATTGTTATTCAGTATTATATATTGTGTTCGTGATTCTTGCACATTATTTATTCATGGAGGAATATGCATACTATACCTGCGTATTCATAACACATGTTTCATTTAATAATAAGGTAACATTTGTTTTACTGTATTTTACAAGTATCTGTCGACTATTATGAATACAATAGGCCCATAGTCATTGTTATACATGATAATGGCATTATATTTTCTTGCACCTTATTATTTCATTAAGGAATGCATTTATCTAGGTATGGCATTAAAAAAAAAAACCTAATTGTGACTTGGATGATTTTGATCATGATTAATTAATTAATTATGAAATAAAACACGTGTTATAAAAAACATTTAGGAAAGTATAATACATACTCCAAGTATTTAAATACACGCCATCATGTTGGGATTCAATATTTCGACATTAATTATGTCATCATCAGGAATGAAAAATTATCCATATTAGCAAGCTTATATGCACTAGTACTAAAAGTGTTTAACCAATTCTAGTATTTAGAAGAGAGGCAGCTACATTCGCCCGGGTTGCTATTTGGCCTTTTTGACGGCCAGGTTCCATGGGTGCCGCCAGGATGAATACACGCCTGGGCACCGCTTTGAATAAACCCATTTGCTGCTCTGCCTTCAGAGTCAACGGGGCGGGGTCTCCGAGATGGGGGGGGGGGGGGTCAGATTTCCCTGACAAAGCAAAGTGGGCGTGGTCGAGCTTCGATTAAAAGTTCCGAAGTGGTCTTGGGGTCGAAGCCCCCGAACATTTCGATAATTTAGGGGTTTGAAAGGCTTATTTAATCGATTTTAGGGTCTACTAATATGTAAAAAATACATGTAAGATTTGTTTCTTCCCGACGAATTGTGTTTTTTCTCGCCGACGGCGGGGGTGGGGGTCCAGTTCCCCCCCCTTGCAATTTGGCCTTTTTGACGGCCAGATTCCTAAAATCTGGCCGTATAAAATTTCGCCTGGCCGTAATGTTTAAAAAGTCACGGCCAAACTATATTTGGCCGAATTTGGCCGAATTTCTGAAAAGTTCACATTTTCTTTCAATAAGCCTAATATAACGTGTTTTGGATATGTTATTTACAAAAGCATAAATTCTATTTGATTCTAATCGTCGTACCCTTGTTTACATTGTACGTCCTTGCACTAAAGTTGACGTAAGAGAGTTTATCGAAAAGACTAGCAGTTAGACCTACATCTATTAATTTAAATTGTTCAGATAAAATATATAATTATGTTTTATGAAGTATATTATGAAATATATATTTCTTATGAAGTATTGTTTAAGCTTTATGACGACAGTTTAATGCAAGTGGAGGTTTCTATCTCTGTTGTTTGAGAATTGAATAAAATAAAATAAATAGGCCTAGTTTAATTAAGTTATTATTGCCTACTTGAATTGTACAGGCACTGCTGTTTTTTTTTTTTTTTTTAAATCCACTGCTTTTTTTTTTTTTTTTTTTTTTTTTTTTTTTTTTTTATGCAGAGCGCCATATAAATGCTCGATGTGATCATTCGAGTCCGATGGCACCTCCAATTTAAATTGGTGTTGCAGAGGCTTCTTCGAATCTACTCTGGAGTTAAGTTGTAGGCCTATATTAGAATCACGAGGAAGATGATTGTGATACCGACAATGACTTATTGTTTTAAGTACTGCAAGAGTAACGTAATTCAAAGGCGAATTTAGAAAGTTTAGATAAAAAGTATAAGTTTTCATAGGCTTGTGTATTAACACCGGTTTGTGTTGCCTAACTAATGTAATAATTCTTTCATTCTAATTGAAAGCGAGCCACGGATTTGCCATATAAAGATTCGATAATAGGCCCTTAAAAGTATTCTAGAAAATGACTACACTGTATGTTATTTAATAAATTTAAATCAATTATAATTAAAGAGCAAATTTAATAATGTGGTTGCGGGCATTTAATTTATGGTGTTAAATTAATTATAAGAACAGCAGTAATAGATTAACACTGTTCTGTGTACACCATTTGCTTTCTTCAAATTCAAACAAATGGCCGATGATTTTCGTGTAATTCTTGTATTTTAAATGAATATTATATGGCCACTATTGTCTTCTATTGGATTATCTGACCGAATTTTGGCCGATATCGAAAAAAAAGTTTGGCCTGATTTGGCCGTGAGATGGCGTGTGTTTGACCGCGAAGCCTGTCGACTATCTGGCAACCCTGTTCGTAACGCACATGTGTTTTGCCATTCGGCGCTGTGGTCAACAGAGCTGCTTCACTTAAGCCTGTAACGTAACACCAGGAATTTGATCTCTTTCTGTTATAAATAGACCTATACGAAATTCATAAGGATGGCAGGTACAATCTGGTTGTTCTATATAATAGTCTGTTGTGCAAATGCTAGGCCCTTGGCCTTGCTTGCTTGTTCGGTTGGCTAGGCCCTGTCACGTGTAGGCTTAGATAGGCTATCCTAGGCCTAGTAGTAGGCTGATGTAATGACTAATAATATTAATGGACTCAGGGTAGGCCTTGTCTCAGTTTACAATCTACAGTTGTTATGTTTTCTGTATATTATCTAGTAGGCCCTAGGCGTAGGCTAGGCTCCTACTACTACTAGGCTAGGCCTACTACTACTAGGGGTCAAAAATTAGGCTTTGACATAATTTTAATATAATAATTGTATTAGGCTTATGCAGTAGCTATGATTTTGCACACCTAGTTTTTCTAGTACAGTATGAGGCCTATATAGCAATTAGCAAGGGGTGGTGCAAGTGTAGGGGACTAGGAGTCGGCTTGGAGAAAAACAATTTGTTGTGGAAAAAAATTATATATTTTGATTTTAACATTGATGAACCCGCCTTCAGCCACACTCAGAGTTGTCGCCATTCTGGGGACATCTGGCCCAGACTGTAAAGTAAGACCTGCGCACCTAATAGCATCTGCTCAGAAATTTGGCCTAGAAAATCTGTCTACGCATTTTGGAAAATTGGAAAATATAAGGGCCGATTTTTCCGCAGATTCTGCCCAAAATTATCTTTTGACCTGATCCTAATATAAACAGTGTATTTAAATGCAGTAATTACGATTATACGCACCTATTTTCCTAGCGATTTTCCACGTAACTCTGACTTTGTGTTTGAGGAATCATGCGTACTCTTAGAAAACGTTATGGCATCTGGTCCCTTGTTTGAGACATTGCCTTCAGCTTTGTGCATATCCTGGTGCCACCACTACTAATAGGTCTACAGTAGTTTAGGATACTGTATGCGGGATAGTAATATTGTATGATTATTTCTCTTTACAGAATTGGTACCAGGCAAGTTGCTGAACGAGGGAAAGACAAAAAAGATCTTTGAACTCCCTAACAACCGTGTTTTGGTTCAATCGAAGGATCGCATTACGGCCCACAATGCGCAGAAAGTAAATGACCTCCAGGGCAAGGCAGCTATATCCACTAAAACCACTTGCCTACTGTTCGAGTACTTGGCGAAACTTGGTGAGCTTTACAACCATGGGTTGTATATTCAGAACAAAATTATCTTCCAGCAACATAGGCCAACCTTCTCTACTTGCTGTTATAAGTTAGCATCAGTGATATAAACCACAAAATTCTTCAATATATTTATATTCTCCACAATATAAGCTTTAGAATATTACTGGAGTCGACTTGCTATATTGCCAAAGTTATGAAAAGTATTATGGCTTCTCTGTATTGGATAAAAGTGTGTGGTACTACTACATTCTTATGCCAATTAGTAAATTACTCAGTTTAACATTTTGTGTTTATGATTGACTTTCCGCGACACTGGTTTGCGATGGCAAGCTTTGTATTGTTTGTTAAGATTGAGTGCCCTCTCACTAACTTTTAAAATTCTTTACGTAGAATAAAGTCTACATTTTATACTTGGCACAATCCCACATTTTTCTACTGTAGGACTTCCAAGTCATTTTATCAAACAGGAAACCGACACTGCGTTTGTTGCTGTCCGCTGTGACATGATTCTGATTGAATGGGTAACTCGACGTGTCGCCACCGGCTCGTTCCTCAAGCGCAATCCTGGAGTCCAAGAAGGGTACAGATTTTCACCTCCCAAATTGGAATTCTTTTACAAGGTTGGTCTCTCACAACTTGTCATTACTTTCAAGAAATAAGTAAATACGTTAACACTTCTATCTTGATTTGGCTTATGTGTTATGCTAATGAGCCAGATAATCAATCATACTTTTTAAAAACAAACTAATCTACCAATAAAATCACCTGCTATTTAAGATATATGGCAAGTATGTTTACAAATTTGATTTTAAATTGATGTGATTTTGTTTTGTAGTATTATAATGAACATCAGATAGGCGGGCCTAGGTCATGTTTAACCGCTTATAAAAATGCAGAAAAAAGACCGAAAACAAATTAGAATGAATTTATCAAAATGGTGCATTAAAATTATTCATATACTTACTACTTACCTATACATAATTAAAATGTATTGTCAACGCCAATATTTTTTAGATGTACGCCTAGCCGATACGCAGTGTGGCTGGAAAGTTTTGTTTTTCTGAGCATGTGCAGATTGTGCTTATCTGGCTCATTAGCATAACAATACAACACATAAGGCTAATTGAAGTTAGACGGATTAAACCAGTCAGCTTAGTATCCTGGCAACAGTTAAAAATCCTTGATAATGTTGTATAGCATGTTTTGCCTGTATTTCCATTTAAATTTCATGTTGCACAGGGTTCTATGTTATTTTTATTAGGATGATGCGGCTGGCGACCCCCAGTGGTCAAGGGAACAAATCATTGAGGCCAAGATGAACTGTGGCGGTCGTGTGATAAGTGCTGACGACGTGGACAAAATGAGTCGCATAACTGTCGCTGTATTTGAGGTTTTGGAGAAGGCTTGGTCCTCATTGGATTGCAGTTTGATAGACATGAAAATTGAGTTTGGTGTCAGTGCTGAGACTGGTAGGTGGACCTTGTTTCTAGACATCATTTTTTGCATAGCTCTTACTCAGAACCACTAATTCCATTGCTCTCAAATTTTTATTAAACATATTTGAAGTTCTTTATTAAACATTGAATATAATATTACTCTGTGGCCCTACATACAGGTGAGATTATCCTCGCTGATATTATCGACAGTGATTCCTGGCGACTCTGGCCATCTGGAGATCGACGTTTGATGAAAGATAAGCAGGTGTATCGTGACCTTAAAGAAGTGACCGAGGAAAGCCTGCAGGTGGTAAAGAAAAACTTTGAGTGGATCATGGAAAAAGTCAAGGTAAAATGTAAAATATATTAGAAATTCCATTCTTCAGCTGTATATGCCTAATTCTCTAAGCAGTCTAAAAAATAATTCTGCACAACTTGCATTTTTTAAATTTATATGCTAAATATTACATATTTCACTGATACCCTTTTTAGCTGTTTAACACTAAACCACCGGCTCAAGTTGTTGTATTAATGGGATCCCCCAGTGATGCGGAACATTGCGACAAAATCAAGAAATCATGCGAAGAGCTTGGAATCCTGTGCGAGACGCGAGTGACCTCGGCTCACAAAGGCACTGAAGAGACTATGCAAATCCTTGCCCAGTATGAAGGTTAGTACACCCTCCAATTCAGGACCCCTGTAATTCCGAGACCCCTCGAATTCAGGACCACTTTTCCAAAGACCTACATAACAACCTTCAACCTTTTATCACAAAGCTAGCCCTCTAATTGGAGCCCAACCCCGAGACCACCGGCGAACTGTATAAAGTTTATCATAATAAAGGTCAACCTATATAGCACATGTTGTTGGGACTTCTATGCGCTTTACAAACATGAACACAGATCAAAAATAGTGGCTGATTCAAGAGAGGCCTAATCGGCCCGGTGCCTCGCCCACCCCCACCCCTAAATTTTTCAAAATTTTAAATAAAAATGGAGGAAAAATGAAAATTATATTCAAATTTTCAGTGTGACCGTGCCATTTCCGGTCATTTACATGTGCCATAATCATCAATATTCTTACCTCAGCCCCCAGCTCAGTGGTTGGGCTGATGTGTACAAACCCAAAACCTGTGAAAAGACCCTCCTTAGGCCCCCTATATTTCAAATTTCTGGATCCGCCACTGAAGAGAGTAATACTTAACTAATTCTGAAGACATGCTAATGACACACCATCAACTAAGCATGGTTGGCTGTTGATTATAAAATAAATAACCAATATAATAAACAAATATTCTTATTTAATATATGAAAATTAATTTTTATGCTTTGTTGTTTTTAATCTTTTGGCATATATTTGTTTATATCATAGTGTATTTTTATGGTGACTATGTTTTTTAGGGGTTGACACACTGTTGGGTCTTGAATAACTATCGTGTGTTTTAGTTTCTGAAGTTTGTTAAAGATACCAGTTTTTGCTGGTATAGTAACAATACACAAAACCTTTTAACTTAATTTCTCTTTTCCTTGTCTAGGTTGCAGTATCCCTATCATATTTATTGCTGTGGCTGGTCGAAGCAATGGTCTAGGCCCGGTGTTGTCAGGAAATACGCCCTTCCCTGTCATCAATTGCCCACCGATCAAAGCAGATTGGGGTGCACAAGATATCTGGTCTTCACTTCGCATGCCATCAGGTAAATAACTTTTTCTTCTTTGATCATTCATAATCAATGAGTCAGAAGAATGTTGTTTTCTATGACTCTCTAGTCTATGCAAACATGTTCAAGTTTTCCATCTGTTTATTTCACTCCATTTCAAATCTAACAGGTCAAAATTCTGACGTTTATTGAAGAAATATTTACCAAGGTTTTTCGATAAGTTATTTTATGATAAAAAGTACAAATTAATATTGAAGTTTGAGGAGTTTTCAAACTTAAACTTTGTGTTAGTGGCTAATTTGGTCTACTGATCAGAAAAAAATGGCAGCTTCAGCATATAATCCTTACCTGGTATATGTATAAATAATTTATATACCATTACTTTTTGATATTTGAAGTTTTGTCCACACTATCAAAAAGTCATGATGTGCCTATTATGGTCTGGACAGGGTTTAAAGGTTATACTTTTGCTGTAATACTATTTCTGTTTTTATTTTTTATTCATCATTACTGTTAATTAGGCCCGAGTATACATAAGCTGACATTCGCATATAAAGGGAATTTATGTTGGCAATTCATTCAAGTTTTCAATCAATTTAACATCTAGGTGTTTCAGTGTAGTTTGTTTTGTGTAGCATAATACTTCTATAAATTTTATTATCTATAGGGGAGTTGCCTTATGCCCGCTAAGCAACCCTTGCTTGCTTTGTATCCTTTGTTTTATTTTCTTGCTTGAATTGTGTATGTAATTTATGACTGCAAGTGAAAATAAATTAGATTTGATTTTGATCATTAATTCTGATAACTATGCATTTGCTTTTGTTGTTTTTTATTTTTTAAAGGAATGGGTTGCAGTACAGTTCTTTCCACGGAGGCTGCAGCTCTGTGCGCAGCTGAGATGCTTGCTCTGAGTGACCACACCATCTGGGGGACGCTTCGCGTTAAGCAGCTCAACACCTGGTTAAAACTAAAGGAGGCTGACTGCAAAATGCGCAAAGCCCAGCAAGAAAAGAGTGCCTAGAAAAACGTCACCGGTTAATTTGCACTACACATATACAGGGTTAATTGTTAAGATATATTTTTTTTATTCATAAGAGATGGCTAATCTCTGTCCTATCCATTCCATGTTTTTATATTTGTAACTGTGTTAGTAGTGATCCAAGATTGGTGGCATTATAAATTATGTTAATTAGAACAGCAGCAAATTTTGGTTTGACGTTTGTAACCAGGCGATGAATAAATGTGCATGTCTTTAAAAGAAAATTATCAATGCAAGAAAGTAATATTGTAATGTAAGATTTTTTGAAATGAGTCACAATTAGTTCATATTCATTTCAAATTATTATTGTGTACAGCATGTTCTTATGTACAAATATGAAGCTGAAAATAAGAGAAGCTTATCATTGAAATCAGGCTGTGGTGCTGCCATCATAGAAATAAAAGAATTGCTGAAACCGACATTGTTCATTGTTATTATTCTTCAGTTTGGCTGATAGTCTGTTAGGCCTCACTTTAGAATAAAATGAGTTTGTGTGACGTTCAATGATGCTGGCATAATAAACATAGTACTGTATTTGACCACCATAAAATAAGTGCATCTTTACCTCATTTACATCAAAATCTACAAGTACACACACTGATGTTAAGTGAATATTGTTATTCATCCAGTAAGTGTTAAGTATAAAATTGTATTTAAATCAAAAAACTGGAACTTGCTATAATTAACGTTGAGTGACGTTTCGTCTCGTCCAGCTCCTCTGAACTTCTTTAGACAACTGACCTGTTAAGAAACAGAAAAAAAAAATACCACAGGCCTACTGTGCAAAAAATGACCACGTTTTCACACCCCTTCCATCCCAAGATGGTACAAAACAAATCATTTCATGTTTACGTCAGTAAGACCAAATGAACTCAATTAAACTTGTTTTTGTGTGCTTGTCCCTCCCTCGGAGGACTTCATAATATTTGCTCCAACTCTGTTCGTAATCTTGGTATTAGCTTTGAATTTTTTATGTCACTCTTCTCAGCAAGTTCAGTCTGTACGTCGTCTTTAAGTACCATGTTCGAAACTTGTGGAGGATCTCAAGTACTTGTCTTACTGTCGCTTTTATTTAACTCGATTGCTGCAAATCTAAAGCCATGTCCAGATTAATATTTACATATGGTCATACAGTTCGCGACCACCTTTGGGACCTGGAAATTTGGGGTGGTCTCGGAGTTGGTCTCCATTTAGAGGGCTAGCTCTGTGTTAAACATGTACTGTCCCTTGCAAAAAAAAAAAATCAGTGCAGTAACTGGAAGTGTTTCTATCATTTTTTCGCTGTAAACTAATGATTTTCATGGGTAAGCATTTTATAAATACACTCATTTTTATGTTCAAGTTGATAATTTTTTTAAATGAGCAAGTTAATTATTTTTTTATGATTTTGGTCATTTTCAAGGGACAGTACATCTTTAAAAGGTTCAAGATTGTTAATTGGAACTTTGGAAAAGTGGTCTCAGAATTAGAAGGGTCTGGAATTGGAGGGTGCAGTGTACATTATATTTGACGAAAGTATGTGATATGCCGAAATATGGTTACAGTGACATCACATCATGACTTTACATGTTCATAGCTTTAGACCGATACTGAAAACTTTAAAAGCTTCCAAACTCATCAATACATCACCTGATTTTTTGACCTGTTTGAGGGGCACTTATGAAAATAGTGGAAATTGAGGTGGCACTTATGGAAATAGATGTTGAAGGGTGCTTATGGGAACTTGGAAAATTCAAAGAGGCACTTTTTGAATTAAAAAAAAAGAAGCTTACATAAGGAAATCTGGAAACCCAATTTAAACCAGGGGTAACGCTAGCGGGGGATAATCTCAACCGCCGAAAGTACAATTACAATTATGTACAAAGTGTTGTATACTATTGTGATCGTATGGGTTGCAGTGGTGTGTCAGCTCTTCCCCGACATCCTTTTTAAATAAAGAATCCCGTAATTAACACAAACTTTTATTACCATTTAATAAAAAAAAAAAAAAAAAAAAACCCAGACAAATTACATTTTTCTCCCACCGGGGAAGGGGTGTGGGTGGCACACTACTGTAGGTTTTCCCCAAATATTGGGCCCGATCATCGATAGGTGAAATGTTATGAAAAAAAAGACAATACATTTTAACAGAATAATAGAGTAAACTCATTTTCATTGTTAATTTTTGCTTCACTGAAAAATATTATAAACAAATTCTTGCTAAAATCACATCATTTTTTGATTACAAAACCACAATACTTTCATGTACCGTGAACATTTAATATCGACCCATGCTAAAGCCTATAATTTGGTATCGGTATTTAATTAATATCAATTTACAATAAAAAAAAAAAAAAAAAACCGAATTATATGTATTGGCTTTCGACATGCTTGCAGAATGTTTAAAACCATTATTTATTCAGGATTATAGAAGGCTTGAAAGTTTCTGTAGCAAATGTAGCCAGACTGTTAAGTAGACTGACGAAATACATAGTGATTTGTCAATATTTTAATTTATTTAAGTCAGACTAATCCAGAAAATGATGTAAGATACATGGGACTCAAGCCACTGGAGGTTTATACTATTGATACATTTGTGTAAACTGACAAAATGTATAGTGATTCAGTGGCAGATCCAGCAATTCGAACTAGAGGGGGGCCCTGGAAGGTGCTTTTGCCGATAGAGGGTCAATAACCACCTTAACCCCATAATGGTTGGGGCTGAGGAAAGAAAAAATGAGTATGTCACTCCCAGACATAAATTTTAATATAATTTTTTTCCTCCATTTTTTAAATAATTTTGACAAATTTAAAGCGGTGAGGGTGCCCGGCTGGCTCAGCCCCCACTTGAAACCCCCACTACGAGTTTCCCAAGTGACTGAGCAGCATGAACCTCAAACTCTTATCTGCAACTGCTGTGCCAGTCCATCTCACATGTATGAAGTAATAATGTAGGTAAAATATCAAGGCAAAAATTCAGCTATTCAACAAACGGCTCCAAATCTCTTGTGGGTCATCACTTGGCTTTGGTAGACTCGCAGCTAATTCTCCAATTAAGTCTAAGGAATTCTGAAAGAGTAGATTGTACAGTAAATCTTTAGGCTGAGGCATAATATGGACTCCTATCTTTGAAGATAAGCTCAAATAGTCACACCCACACAGAAATGTCCGAAAGTTGGGGGTGTGGAGCGATCAACACTACACCAGAGGGATCCTGCATGCCCCAGGGAAATTTTAGTTTTCTAGACACCCAGGACACAATGGACGTTTTAAGCGATCAATCATTTCTTTATCATTCTTTTCTTTACTTTCCATAAGGGGAACTGGGGCGGTTCCCCCCTTCCTAAATCCACACCTGATAATAAATTACCTTGCACACCAGATGTCTCTGGATCTTATCTTCTATTAGTTTGTTTTGGAGCAATGTTTTTCTCCTGCACACAAACTGCTTCTCTGTGATTTTCTCTTTAGCTTTCACACAAACTGGGCAAGTTTTGATGTCATGCTCAACCACCTCATCAACTTTCTGTAATATATTTTTTTTTAAAGTCAATATGTAATAGATAAAAAGTAAATTTAATAAATTATTCTTAAATAAATTCTTTAGGTTTTTTTTTGTTTCATTCTTTTATTGAGCACTAAAATACTGAATTTAAGGACCTTGTAGAACCAAACAAAAAAATTATAAAATGGTACAGGCACCTAATTAGACTCCCAGAAGATTCTACAGTGAAATTTAAAGCGCAAAATGAAAGTTACAAGAAAGTTCAAAGGTCCGTCGGAAGACTAACTAAAATATGGACAAAATTAATTGAAGATGGCCTCAGAAATGTTGTGGACACCAACCAAGCACTTGACACACACCCTGCCCACAACAGAAAGCACTGGCTCGAGTTGGTAGAACGCGCGATGTCTAATGATGAATAGCATACACATGATGATGACGTAGAACCCTGGTTCTTAATAGGCGGCCCGTGGGATCAAAGGGCCAATCTCTCAGCCTCGTAGAGTTCACGTTTCCTTTAACCTTTCATGCGTGTCATGAATTAGGCCTTCATAGCAACGTGGCATAGAGAGTGCACATCGTGCGAGAGGGTAACAAAGTAGCCATACTATCATTTAGGGTCATAATACTTTCTATTACCCGCTTCTTAACCAATCAAATGTCTAGAATCTATGTATGCAGTATATAATAAAAATAATATATTTAAGAGTTAGGAGATACATGTTTAATAAAAAATAAACTGCGCCAAAATAAATAGCAAATGAAGTAATAAAGTACAAAATTAAAATAAGGTAAATAGTAAGAACATGGGGCGGATGGGGCAGGCTCCCCCTCCCCCACATTTTGCTACTAAATTTTAAAACTTTCACTGCAAATCAATGTTATGTGCTACTCACTTACCTATTCTGAAACTGTTGTGCCCCCCCCCCCCACACCCACCAGTTTAAAAAATTCTGGCTCCGCCCCTGGAGAGCTCTTTGGATGCTCTCAACCCCACACGTTATACAGGTTTAAAATATCTATTACCTAGAACGTCCGTGAATAAAATCTGTTACCGGTGAAGACTGCCTGCTTGAATTTCACACTGGTTTCCAATATTATGAGATACAGTAGTACTGTATTAGTGGTATCCATTTTGAAGTGCATGTGTAACACATTCACACAATATGTTAAACAAGATGGTAAAGGATAACCCACTAAAGTCCAATCACCTAATTCTTAACGTGTGCATGGGACCAATGGCTAAAACATCTTTTCTGATAGTGCTTTGTTATACTTGCATTTCAGCCCTCCAGTTGAAACACAAGGATATCAGTGGATGGAATTCAACGGCCATGGGTTAATAAGGTTAACAGTAGAGTTCAGAACACACTCAGTAATCACCACCAGTCTAAAACCACCTGATCTAAATTTTGTCACTGTAATTTTACCTTTTTCATTCTATGTCGGATATTCTCTATTTTCATTTCATCCAGCCTCCTCTCTGTGATTGGTAACGTCGACTGGACATGTTCATCTTGTTTTACATATTGCACAGAATCTAGAAAAAAATGATTTTGGCATTTTACATATACTATAATCGTCTGTATCAGCATGACATGGCCAGGCCTAGAAATTTACTTTTTTAGCCACTAGCAACCTAATGCTAAAATTTACTAGTCGTCAAACAGGTAACTGGCAAAATGAGTTGCTCAACTAATAAAATATATTGATAATAATATAACATAATATTTTTGGAAAATAAATTGTATGAAAATAACAACTAATGATTATGATGTACTTTATTGAAATTTGTGTGTTAAATGTTGTAATATAATATTTTCTGTTATGGTGAGTGTAGTACAATAATTATCACAAAGAAATAGCCAAATGAGTATAATCAATTTATATTATATTTATTTTATATTAATTTTATATTATATATTTTGAAAAGTTCCAGTTTATGTGACTTTTCTTTCATATTTTATTTTACTTAATTTGTTTTACTTACTAGGTTTAACTACAAGGTATTTTGTATAGATATTCCAACTAGCAATCATTTTTTTTTAATTTGCTGGTTTGTGAATGTTTACCTAGCAATTATGACAAACCTACTAGCAAATTGCTAGTTTGCTAGTGCGAATTTCGAGCCCTGATGGCATAATTAATTTTAAAGCAAATATATAAAGTATTATCAAGAAATACAATTTAATTAATTAAAGATGATTATAGAATCATATCAATAATCATTGATCATTATCACTAAACATATATCATTTACATCCGCAGTATTATCATGATTTCCATTATTATTTTCTTTTTTCTTTTCGAATGATATTTTTATGTATATGTATGTTGGGTTTTGTGCATTTGGAGAGCGTGTCGTGTTAGAAGTGCTTGCACCTGTTGATACACTCTCTCACTGGAATTTCTATTTAGATATATGTGTGTGTGTGGGGTGGGTGAATGGGTGTGTATGCATGTGTGAATGTGCATACATATTATATTTTTGTTTGTTTTCTTTTTTGTTATATACTTACTGTAATATACAGTACAGTACTGTATATTATATGATCACTGTACTACATAAAAGCATTACTGCAAGAGTTCATCAGTACTGTGTATCATTAGATATAGATACAGTATTATAAATTTTTTAATTGGTATTAATTGTCACCCACCTCACTTTCATCTTCAGAAGAATATTCATCATTTGCCGACTCGAATGTGTCTTCATTATAACTGAGCTTCATGTTTCTTTGAAAAATGTCAAACCGGGTGTCAGACTTGGACTTGGAAGTATCTCCGCCACTAGATTCATGACTACGCCTGTAAGTCAGTGTGTGGACGGATTCTGTTGTCAGTGAGTTGAAACTGTCTGATGTATATGCAGCCTCGCCAGTCCTTGATGAGATTACCTCTGATACTTCTTTGCCTATGCTGGAGCTTAGTGAATTGAAGCTATCTGTATATTGTGCTACTGATGATGCTGATGACGATTCCATTTTGTTACCTTAATAAGATTACATTTCTCTGATATAATGTAGAGCTTTGCGGCAATTTTAATCCTGATCTGTAATAACAGAAATGCTAACAATAAGTACTGTAAATGTAGTCCTGCAGCGCTTATTAAATGTCTCAAAGCTTTAGTGCGGCGCTTATTAAAGAGTTGCGCTTATTCGAGAGTAATGCTTACAAAAAAAATATTGCATGGCGCTTTGACCTATCTCACATATTCCCATAGTTCACTAGGCCTATCATAGGTCCGACAGTACGACATCGTAAATAAATGTTTGTAAAGACATGCTTGTGTCTTCATTGTATTAATTTATTCATTTTAACACTGTATATATTGTTGTAAAAAAACTAAAAGTGTTTCATTACACACCGGGTAATGGAGAATGGCACTTAGCGCTTAGCAAAAAAAAAAATCAGGTTTGGTGTAGCACTAATTGAGAGCGGCGCTAAATCAAGCATTTGTAGATAAATTATAGATGAGTAGATGGATTATCTGAGAAGTTAAGCTAAAGGCTAGCATGTTTTGAATATTCGCCCAACAGACTTTGTTATAAGGCTGAATCATATGAAGTTCGCTATAAAATAGTAACTAAAAGTACAGATCGAATAGGCCTCACTTTACATAAATAAGCAACAAACCAAATTATCAAAACAATAAGTATGGATATCACATTAAAAACATTTTATTTGTTGCAGTCACTAAATATTACAAATTGAAAACCACGAACATTCAATTAGAGAAAATATCGCATTCCATTTTTTTTTAAATGACTAAAAAAGTTTTTACAAAGAAACCTTCATAAAAATGCAAAACTCCCTGCCATAGGGAGAGAAGCAATCATAATGTATTTGTTAAAACCATGGCATACTGTGCTAGGGGATGCGTAGAGTGCGGGCCAAATCAGAGTTTGTGCTCCCCCATTTGGCTGGAAATGTTTGACGCAAAAAATACACGGAAGTATGGTAGGTTAAAATCACCATTTTTTTGTGCGCTAGTTCCCCCTCTTGAAACTTCAAACCTCATTTCACCTCAACCCCTCCCCATTGTAAGGTTCCTAGATACACCGCCATTTGGTTTAATAAACCCATGAGTGATATTTTGTTTTTGTATTTTAACTACATACAGTATTTTTTTTAAATTCCATATTCAAGGCAGAGGCTACTGTGCATCTATAGAGGAACTCTAATAGATCCCTTTAAAATATTACATTCATTGTGTTGACTCGTGTACTACACAGTACATTATTAAAGAAAACGTCTTAATATTTACCACTTCCATTAAATCACAAATATGTAATACTTGATTTTGCTTATACTTGCATTTCTTTTCACATATACATAATTATTTGTCTCTCCATAAATACACTATTCTTGTTTGACTGCACAATTAAAGAGTAAATCATACTTATTCACACTTAATATGAGACAGTGATGGCCCAATTTCCCCTCCCATAATTTATAGCAAAGATTTTATTATGTATTAGAAGGTTGATTACATGGGTGAATCTCCTACACAGAAAAATGTAGATGGTGATGATATGATGATGAATGATAATGATGAAGATGATTATGAATCTGATGATGATGATGATGATGATGGTGACCATAATGAGCCTGATGATGAAGATGACGGTGACAATGAAGATGATGGTGATGATAAAGGTGACAATGATGAAGGCAATGAAGATGACGGTGATAAAGATGACGGTGATAAATATGATGGTGATGAAGATGACAGTGATGAAGATGACGGTGAGGATGATGATGATGATAATGATGATGATGATGATGATGATGATGATAAAAATATTGATTGAGTTGACAAGGCGGTTGCAGGGTTTGCGTTATGGATGTTGTGTATTCTTAAATGAATTTTAAGATTACTACGGTCACCAAACTTCCGTTTACAATAATTACATTCAAAAGGTCTTTCTCCAATGTGCACTAGTAAATGGCTTTTAAGGGTGTAACTTTGTCTAAATTTCTTTCCGCAATATTCACATTTGTAAGGCGTCTCTCCTGTATGTATCAGCATATGTTGTTTAAAGTCTTGACGGTGTTTAAATTTCTTTCCACAATGTTCACATTCATGTGGTCTCTCGCCCGTGTGTATTACTAAATGTCTTTTAAGGCTATATTTCTGCCGGAATTTCTTTCCGCAATATTCGCATTCATAAGGCATCTCTCCAGCATGTATTCGCATATGCCGTTTAACATAGTGATGCCGTTTAAATTTCTTTCCACATTGACTGCATTCAAACGGTCCTTCTCCATGCGTTTTTACATGTTTCTTAACATCAGCAATGCTCATAAACTTTTCTCCACATTGTTCACATTCGTGTTGTTTTTTTCTTGTTTGTACGTTCGGACACTTTTTACTACTATTATTCCTTGTCTTACCAGCGTGCGTTAGTAAATGAACCTTCAAATATCGCCTTCGTTTGAACGTCTGTCCGCAAGTTTGGCATTTATGCTGCGGTGACGGTGACTCTTGAGTGTGTGCTGTTATCACGTGTTCCTTCAAATCATCGTTATGCATAAATTTCTTCCCACATTTTTCACATTCAAAAGGCTTCAAGTTGACCAACTTCACTCCAATGTGCTTTCTCAAATGCACGCTGAAATTAGTACGCTGATTAAATTTCTTCCCACAATAATTACACTCAAACGGTGAATCTTCCGTGTGTGTCCTCAAATGTGACTTTAAATAAACACCTTTTCTAAATCTCTTTTGACAATATTTGCATTCATCATATCTCAACTCATCTGCATGTACTTCCAAATGAGTTGTCAAAAGACCTTTGTATTTAAATTTCTTTCCACATTGATCACATTTAAACGTTTTTTTCTTTAGATGCATTTTCACATGTCCAGACAATTTCCGACTTGTTTTAAACATCTTCCCACAATATTGACATTCATGCAGGACCTTTTCTTCTGTGTGCTTGAACTTCAGATGTTCATCCAAATGCCTACCTTTATCAAATTGCAACTCACAATGCTTACATGGAAATGGCAATTGTGTCTTAATTCCTAAATGAGTCTTCAAAGTTGTTAAATCAACATTCAATCCACAGTGCTCGCATTCATACATAGTTTCTCCTACCTCTTCCTTCAAACTCTCATTCACTTCACGTTTGTATTCACTGCGTAAATTCATATTTTCCTCCTGAATTATACCACAACCAGATGATGTGAAATTCAGCAGCATTGTCTTTTTTCTGAAGACTCCATACCCTTAATGTTAATCTTGATTTCTTCTCAGGTTGAAATGTTCTTCCAGTGTAGTGTTGATGGCAATATTTGATATTCACTGATCAATTAACGTCGTCATCATTTAAACTTTCTTCATAGCTGTCGAAGAACCAAGTTTCTCAATTTATAATAAAGTATGCGAGTGAAAAAGCATATAATTTTTAAATGTTGATAAGGTGGTTTTTTGGGCTTTTTTTTTTTTTGCGGGGGAGGCCTTGAAGGTGGAGTTTTAGGGGGTCTAAGGTGAAGTGGATGATAAGATATTTCAAGTGAGGCGTGGAGGGGTAGCCGATCATTTCGGTGGGGGTAGGCGGGCGCTGCTTAGAGGCCCGGGAACTAGGCTAGGCTAGCTAGCATAAGTAAGGTCGAAGGAAAATTATATTATTATTAGCATAGGCCTAATTTATTGGCCTAGAGATCAAGCTCACCAAAAAAGGCGCTTGGTGCCTAGGCCTTGGCCTTCCACGAGTCTCGGCCGGCGGACAAGTCCGAAGTGCAAAGGCCTTGGCCTTCTCCGATCCGACGAGTCTCGGCCGGCGGACAAGTCCCCTAGGCTAGGCTAGACTAGGCCTAGGCTAGAATGCAGTAAATTAGGCATAACTCCTAGATCTAAAATAAACCATGCAAATAAATATATTTACTTACAAGCATTTCACAATATCGACGAGAATTTTTACTAGGCCTAGTCTAGAAATAAGTTTTGAAAAATACTTACAGATGCTTCACGACCACAGTATAGAGATATAGGCCTAGGGCCTAGGCTTAATGCAATATTTTAGCGCTAAAGTGTAATGTATTCGATGTTCGAAATACGCAGAGCTGTGTGTGTGTGTACCATCCAAGATGGCTGCCATAGATTTAGCCAATCAAATTTCGCCTAAGCGCCATCGTTTGCAATTGCGCCCTCAATTTAAACAGAAAAAAAAAAGAAACAGAAAAAAGAGAGAAAAGGAAAACAACGATGGATGATTTTTTTTTTTTAATTACTACACTACATTACAGTACACTAATGAAAATACATTTTTCTTTTTATTTCATAACAAGAAACCTAAATTTCAATTTGCTGGACATATATTGTTGAACCCGAAACAATTATTTGAAATATCGGGATGGTGTCCGGCGAGGGAGAGTTTTACCTCCATTTTATGTTAAGTTAGTTTTAAGTTAGTTTTAGGTAACTGGCAGCCCCATCGACGGCCATGGCAGCCTTCAGGTGGGAGAGGGTGAATGGTCCCAGCAGAATTTTTTTTTAAATAGCTGAACAAAGGGCGGATGAACTCTTCGGAGCCAACAGCCAAACCATTTTTAGTTTAAGAATAGGATTAGTTCCATTACTTTCCTTGTGCGGTTATTCATATTTATATTAAGTGCACAGAGGTCTCCATAATATTAATATGCGCTTAAGTCGGCCATTATTAAGTTATTGTTATTATTATTATTATTATTATTATTATTATTATTATTATTATTATTATTATTATTATTATTATTATTATTATTATTATTGTTATTGTTGTTGTTATTGTTATTATTATTATTGTTATTATTGTTAAAGTTATTATTATTATTATTACTATTTAATTTTGATTGAGGACTCACACGCAACGCTCGTTTTTATTGAGCAAACGCAAGTTGTGCATATACGGTTGTACTGCAATCTATCGTACTAAGTACTGTGTATACTACGTATACGTACTATATACGGTATATTCTTCAGCAGAAATTTCTTTATTTATTGTTATTTATAAAAGTACAGTAAACAACATGGAGAGGCCATGTAGCCACATTTTAAAAATTTTGTTGTTAAAATGTAAACCCGCTACCGAAATCAACGGATACAGGTTTTCAAGTTTAATAGGGGTCTGATAATATATACACCCCAGCCCACGCTTGGTGAAAAATTGTTTGGTATCTCAAGGAAATAGATACTGACAACCTACTTAGCCACTCCCCTCAAGAGGCAGTCACAAGATTTAAGGTTAGCATGTAGGATCTATACTCACCTCATGGCAACCATGGTTGAGGCTGAGGTGATCAAATTGTTGAAATATGGCGCCATGCCCGGAAACAGCAGGTGGCAAAACCGTAGAGCCTTTACCCCTCCCCATCATGCATATTGGTAGAAACAAGATTTAAAATTAGCGGAACATGTTGTTGTCGATGTGAGCAAATTTTGAAAATATGGCACGTCCCTTTCGACATTGGCGTAAATATAGGTTTCCAGGGACCCCGGTCAGTCGTGGCCCTCTTATAAAAATAGACATTTCCGGAGTGTCAATCAAACTTAACAACCGACTAATCAGAACAGCGCTAAGAATACGCGCGCGTCTTACAAACACACGTGTTGTCCCACAAACGCACGTGTTCGCGTATGTTTTAATACACTGCCGTCTTGTGGGACCTTAGCAACAATATCCAAGGGGCGGAGCTTGGCGGAAAGGTCCATTGGCCAAGTCTGATCATCCGGCTACAAAGCTTTTATTCAGTTAACAAACTTACTCCTTAATAAAGTACCGGTAATCCATAGTAAAATTATCCCCCGCCGAACACCATCGCTATATTTCTGAGTCTAGAATTCGGGGGACAGAAAAAAATGTTAATAAAAGAAAAATTATTTGTAATTTATTACTATATTACTGAAGTTATCCACAGTACCCTGTCAGATAATACCATCCTGGTACCATCCTGAGTCTAGATTGCGAGGCTGGAATATTGATTACTAACAGATACAAATATAGCTACTTTATTATCATAAAAACACGTAGTACAATATACACTGTATATGACATTTACTAGATTAATCTATAGGCCCTATTAAAATATTTGCTCCAAATCCAAGTTTCGTGACCTAAATATAGGATGGCAATAACTCTGCACGTATAATATAGGCCTTAAAACTTTGACCATAACATGTTTTTGTGCTTTGTTTGTTAGCAAAATGTTCACAGCATATCCCCGGATATTTGTTTTGATCGTTGCCGGCAGGGGGAGGTGGTGGGGGAGGGAGCGTGTGTGGGTAATTTTTCCAATAAATTTTGAGAATACTGTATGACATTGGACACCCTCTTACCAGGTATAACGCAAGAAAACTTTAGGCCTATATTAACAAAAGAGATAATAAAGGCGTTCTTGTCCTTACCTGAGGAAAGGACAAGAACGGAAATCTTAAAAAAAAAAAATAATAATAATAATTAATTTAATTTATTTAAAAAATATCTTGTTGTCTGTTGACCAAGACAAAGTTGCCACATTGTATGGGGTGTTCCAGTTCAGATTCGCAAGATGTGTTAATTAAAATGTTCATACAAAATTACAAAACCGCCACAGCCCATAGCCACAATATAGGGAGCTATCGAGTTGTGCGACGACGCGACGCTAGAACGGAATCACTCTTGCGTGACCGTCCTACCTGGTGTCCTACATTCTCTGCATACGTAGATTTGGCCAAATTACGTTGCAAAATCTACTCGACGAGGTGACCTTAACGTTCTTGCATGCGCAGATGACTTTTAGTGACGTCATTACGTTCTACGTCCTACCGTCGTCGTGCAATCGACAGCTCCCTATTATCGGCGCTGGTTCAGACGGCACGCTCGCCTACAGTTCCGGTGGAACAAGTCTTTTCGGGGCTACCCTGTGTATACCGGTCCATACAGCCCATGTTGTCTTGTGATTGGATTACCACATTGAAAAGTGATTTAATAGTTCACTGTTTGGCATTTCCTTGGCCCTGTGCGTAAAGCTGAATAAATAAAGTCTGTGAGAAAATGCCAAATAAAAAAACTGATTATAGGCATTCAGTGGATGTTTTTAAAGTACTTTATTGTATAAAAGACTCAAAATAATATACTTGTGAGTACATAAACTTAAAATTCATTCAATAACATAGTTCACTGCAACTAAAACTGAACTGTTTCAATACAAATTTTGTCTTTGTGTTACCATTTTAATATGAAAATAACTTAAAAAAAACATAATTAGGAAATAAACATAATGCCACTACCCTACCAAATCTTGATTTATACCTAAGATTTATTGTTTAATCATTTCAAATTAGTTGTTAAAATTCAACTTATTGTTGTTTTCCGGTAATTATATTTTCCCATTTTGATTAACAAAATATGATGCAAAAGTAAAATTGACCATATTAAGTTAGAGTTAAGTACTGTATATAATTAAGTTCTATATTCATCTATTATAATTTTGGTTAATATTTTTTATATTTATTATTGAAATAAAAAAAAATAATTTATCTATGGACACAATTTAATTAATAATTTAAAGTGTAGGTTTCAAGCAATAATTAGACACAAAACTACAATGTTAAAATACAAACATTTGTGCACCAGTGACAATCATTTTACGAATGCTGCAATGTCATTATTATTATTATTATTAATATTTAGTGCTTAGAGACCTTGCTTATTTCCACCTTATAAATTGACCTAATTATTATTATTATAAAATATAGATTGTTTTCCCATTGTTTTTCGAGTTGAGCAAACAAATGTTGAATGACGTCTGTATATGCGCATCTGTGAAGTTTCCATGAAACTCACTATTGAGCATGAAAAAAATGAATGGAATCGCCCGCTTTTGTGAATTCTGTATTTAGGCATAGGGTGGAGGTACTGTAGTAGGCATTCTTTATGGAGTGACACTCTTGTTCTCTATGTTAACCATGAATATGTTAAGTGTAACTGATTGGCTTACAGTAAACCTTCAAACTAGCACAATATAACAATATTTAAACGCCATCTAATACAAAAACAGTAAGATACTTAATTAGGCCATTTTTAAAATAAAATTCTCGGAAGGTTAACTACAGAATTTACAGTGCACTGCAGTTAATGTGTTGAAGGTTGTAAAAACATTGCATTTAAAAAAAAAATATCTTTCGCTTTACATTAGTAGTCATTTGTGAAACAAAATGATAGGCTATGTCAAGTGAGGGGTGACCAGACAGCCCCCAACCTCCTAATTTTTTCAAAATTTGAACAAAAATTGAGAAACCAGACAAAATTGTATTAAAGTATCTGAGAGTGTCATTTCCGGCCATCTAGAGGTGCAATAATCATAATTTTTTATTACCTCAGCCCCAACCGTAGGGCTAAGGTGGGTGGACATTCCATTTGTGCAAGACCCTCCCAGGGTTCCCTCTATTTCGACTTCATTGACCTGCCACGGTTGGAGTATCACTTCCGGGCTACTATACTGTATAGAAGGGTAATTGTGAAAAGTGAAGGTTTCATTGGGGATACCCCTCATGATAAATAATTCATCGAGATCATGGAAGCAATCTCAACTTCGAAAAATCAGTGGTGGATTCAAGGGGTGTGGGGGGGGGGATTTCAATTTTTTTTTTTTAAATAGGGATAAAGAAAATTATATTCAAATTTTATGTCTGAGAGTGAATTTCCAGCCATCTAGTGGTGCCATACTCAGAAATGATCTTACCTCAGCCCCAACCATGGTGGGTCTGATGTAGTACTTTCACTATATCTGTGAAAGTACCTTCAGGCCCCCTCCCCCTATTTTGAATTCCTGGATCCGCCACTGTCAATAAAAACAATTATGGAGTCATATTACAGTAGCCTGATGCCTTTAAAACAACTAGTAAAATTTACCAAACCTAGTCAAACATTTGTAGCTTCCAAGGGGCTTCACCTTCTGGACCCCTACCAGGGGCCTTTGGCAGCCCACTGGTCCCCAGCCTAGATGCTCGCTTCACTCGCATATTGGACCTTATGAAATGGCCCACCCCCCGCACTCTTAAAAACGTTCCCCTGCCGTGGATGGAAATAATGGCAGTGAAGACGAAGGTGATGATGAGGATGACAGTGATGAAGATGACGGTGATGATGATGATGACGACGAAGATGACAAAAATGATTGTGTTGACAAGGTGGTAGCAGGGTCTGAGTAATGGATGTTGTGTGTACTTAAATGGTTTTTTAAATTACCATGATCACCAAACTTCCTTTCACAATAGTCACATTCAAAAGTTTTTTCTTCAGTGTGCACTAATAAATGTCTTTTGAGGCTGTAACTCTGTCTAAATTTCTTTCCGCAATATTCACATTCGTACGGCGTCTCTCCTGTATGTATGCGCATATGCCGTTTAACATCTTGACTCTGTTTAAATTTCCTTCCACAATGTTCACATTCATAAGGTGTCTCCCCGGTATGTGTTCGCATATGGCGTTTAACGGCTTGACGCTGTTTAAATTTCTTCCCACAATGTTCACATTCATACAGTATTTCCTCCGTGTGTATTACTAAATGTCTTTTAAGGCTGTATCTCCGTTTAAATTTCTTTCCGCAATATCCACATTCATAAGGTGATTCTCCAGTATGTGTTCGCATATGTTCTTTAAGGCAGTTACGCTGTTTAAAACTCTTTCCACAATAATTACACTCAAATGGCGAATCTTCCTTGTGTATACTCAAACGCGACTTCAAGTAAACGCCGTTTTTATATTCCTTCCCAAAGGATTGTTGTTCAAATGGAATTACATTTGATTGGTTTATTTCTTCTGGGTGCTGGAACTTCAGATGTTCATCCAAATGTCTGCCTTTATCAAACTGCAACTCACAATGCTTACATGGGAATGGCAATTGTGTCTTGATTCCTAAATGAGTCTTCAAAGTTGTTAAATCAACATTCATTCCACAGTGCTCGCATTCATACATAGTTTCTCCTACCTCTTCCAAATGTTTCTTCAATCTCTCATTCACTTCACGTTTGTATTCACTGCATAAATTCATATTTTCCTCCTGAATTATATCACGACCAGATGATGTTGATTTCAGCAGCATCATCTTGTTTCTGAAGGCTTTGTACACTTAATATGTTTTCTCAGGTTGAAACTGTTCTTCCAGTGTGGTGTTGATGGCAATTCACTGATCAATTATCATCGTACTCATCTGAACTTTCTTTATAGCTGTTGAAGAACCAAGTTTCTCAATTTATAAACAAAGAAAATAATCAAATTTATATTTAAAAAATATGTTTTTGTTGTACTGGTAAACATATTTGCAAGAATTCCTGAGCTTTTCAAGTGTAAGATGGAAAATGACCATTTTAAATTAAAAAAATAAGAATTTCCCAAATGTGATGAGGGAGTGGATAATAAACTAATAATTTTTTTAAGGGGCCTTAGGCCTAAATGTTGCAAGATTTAGCCTAGCCTAGCCTACCAGGCTATCAAGGTGTTTGGAAGTCTTACCTAATGAAAACATTAAGAGGGATGAATAAATGGCGAAACAACCTAGCTAGGGTCTAGGCCTAAACCCTATGTACTTACAGATCCAGCAGCCAACTTACCATCCAAGGATAGGCCTAGGCCTAGGTCTTGGTCCCGAGGCCCACTCCAACGAACGAGGCCCTCTCGACAAGGTATGGGTCCCTTATGATAAACGAAGTGTCTATGCTTGGCCTAGGCCTAGGCTAGCCTAGGTATAGCCTCTAGGCCTGGCCCTAGCTCCAGATATAAAGCAATAAAAACCATTCAAAAAATGCACTTACTTACTGGTATTTCACATTATTGACGAGAGTGGCTTTCTTGTTGCCTAGAAATAAAATACTATAGTAGGCTAGGCCCAGGCGAACAAATTTGTTCGATGCGAGACGAGAGGACCACTTATTTCAAAATCCAAAAATCTTGGAATATGGAACGCAAAAAAAACTCCCAAACCAATCCAAATTTCATACATAGAACGAGGAGGTATAAAAAAGTTAGAGAGAGCTCAGTTGAACGCCGCCACAAAAAAGGTCATTACTATTAGTGTAATTGGTAAGAAGGTCAACCACCTATTAGTGGCTAGGTAAACCTCCTGTAAAACTCTCTCAAGGACGTATTACTCCTCCTCAATTACTCTAAAGAGAAGTATACTCTACAGTCGTTTTAGTAGTGGTTTAAGCTGGTCAGGTATGGCCAGGGAAATATTAAAAAAAATGGCAGCCAATGTAAAGATGACTACTTTGCAGGTTCTGATTTATGTGATCTAAGCGACATAGAAGAAGTAAGACATATATAAACCTAGAGGAAGCTGAACGATGAAGATGATATTTTGTGTGTGGACAACTTCAGTGGGAACTAAAGAGATGATTTTGTGTGAGTGTGTTTCATTCCAACAGGAAATTGGTCAGAATGTAAGAGGAGTAGCAAAGGGGTAGAAAACCTAGGCGTAAACCTAAGCCTAAAGCTTTGTCTACACTATCAAATTTCATCAAAAAAGACGTCACATAATATTTGATGGAAAATACAGTTGAACACGTTCAACTTTTTTTGATATAATTTAATGATATGTGATATGACGTCATTGTACCATATATGGGCACATTACATTTTTCGGCACATAAAATTTTATAGTGTAGACAGAGTTTAAAGCAGCATTTACTACAGGAGCGAAGTCTAAAACTTCAAACGCCTAATTCAACGGATAAGAAAAGAAAGAAGCAGCTAAGGGTTAAATCATTTTTCCCTTAAATTTCCAATCATCAATTAATAAACAAAAATTCTCCGTGTCGCAAACATTAGTCTGTCTGGAAAATGTATACAGATATATGACTGCTTCACGTCGAACGTATATCTAGATAAGTAGAAATAATGTATATCTAGTAAGTTCGACGAGAACCAATTGTATAGTTGATGTTCATCATTCGGTTGAATTGACTGCAAGCCGAGCATTATTATTAGTGGTGGCGCCAGGATATAAATGATGCTCTCGATTATGAAATCAATGTAGCACCCTCTCTCACACTGGTGACTTACTCGGGAGCGGTTGTTTATAGATTTGCAGGTTTTCATTATTATTCATTAAATTGCACAGTAGTGTTGGCCTATCAAACAAAAGAACGCCACATACGGGCGTTGCAGCCTTTGCCTTGATGAGAAGATGTGTATCTTAAATGCAAATATAGCTAATCTGTTAAATAAAAGATCTGAACTAATATCCAAATGCCACACTATAACAATAGGAAAATCTACCTACCACCTGATGATTGAAAGCTATAATGTGTAGTACCAAAGAGTATAAATAGAACAAGAGAGCAAAGTCCTGTTCGTAAAAACTTCACGCCTGTGTAGGACGCCCACTAACGGTTGTATATTCTTTTTATTACCCAGTGCAGCGTAGCCTGGGTTCCAGGCCCTAATTTTAGGTTACTCACTCTTTATTGCACTTAGTGCGCACCATACCTAATTTAATTGGCGTCCCATACTCGATTTCTTTTTTTTGCGTCTATCTCTAAATCAAAGATCTTATAAACACAAGATAGCGTTCTCCGCGATTTACGCGTAACAAATAGAAGCGTCGGTCAAGGTTCAAAAGTTTCCCATTTAGCAAGAGGGCG